TAAAGAAAATCATTTGAATTGAGGTGGACCACCTTAAAGGCAGCACTAAATTTAAAATTTCAAGATTTGGAAGGAGCGTACTCTACCACTTTTTATACTGCTAATTTTTGTTTTTAAACTTTTTTTGTGATAGATGGAGGGGGAAGGGGAAGTGACGCCCCACATCCTATAATTTATTTATGTCACTAATATATAATTTAATAAAATATAATTTTTATTTTGTATTATTTTATATATTAGTTTTATTATTTACTACTTTCATTCATTTTAATAATGATAAAAGTATTTATTAGAATGAATCTTTCGATACTAGGGTGTGTACCATTACCACCACATCCACCTCTTTCATAAAATACATCTATAATATTTGCTTGCAAACTGGAATAAAAAAATAACAACTTAAAATGATATATTACTTGTTTTATATATAAAAAAAACAACCTTTTTTGGAAAAAATGTTAATTTTTTAATTGCAAAGCTGTTTCTTCTGTCCCCCTCAAGCCCCCTGAATACGCGCAGGTGTTAAAAGCAAAAGAAGCTTGTAGCCCAATGTTACACCTATCTTTTGATACCAAGTTATATCCATTTAGATAAGATTTGACAATGTTAAGGCGGTTTAAGTTACAAAACAATTATAAATTGGTCACATTTTTATTAAGGAATCCTTGTAATCAAATTTCGTCACTATAATGCTCATAACTTTTTGTAGGATATTTTTTTAAAATTCTTTCCAACAATATATAACAATCTGATATTTAAACAATTTGAAATTTTTACACACGTACCTATATAAATACAAATAATACATTGTCTCTTTCATAAATTGTTTTTTACAAATGCTCTCATAAATTTAACACAATACAATAATCCACAAAAATGTAAAATTAAAAAACCGCTTAACATAACAAAAATAATTACAAAAAAAATATTACACAAAAATTGCACAGTTGTCATAGAATATTTCATAACTTTCCACAACAATATTAAAAGTGCTATTTAAAATAGATTTTAAGAATATAAATCTAAAACCATTCTTTAAGCGTCTCCTTCAGTTTTTTAAGGCAAAATGTATGATTGGATATCATATATAATAAAACACAATAGGCCGCGCATGTGATCAACTATAAATTACAATCTCATTAAAACATTTAAACTTTCATAGTAAGATTGATATACTGAACTCAAAAATCACACACTAGGGAAAAAATTATATCAGTTTTATAAATGTCTAGATCACATTTATAAAAAGAAATTACTCCAATATAGAAATTGGTTCTGAAGGATTTGGCTCACCTTTAGCTAACTGTGCGCTGTGTTGTTTTTAAAAGTCTTTCTCATTTTCCTTGCCCAAGCATTAAGATGTATTTGTTTATAAGTAACTTGTTTATGTATTTCAGCCACATAAACACCCCGGTGGGAAATCGGCTAGCGAATAGCTAGCTATAATCGCAACGATAAAGACAGCAATTTGGCCACGAGGATCGCTAGCTTTTTTAAATTAGCAAAAAGCTATCGATATTTGTAAAGATAAAGACAGACATTTGGTTAAGACAGACATTTGGTTAAGAGGACAGCCAGCTCAACAAGCTAAAGACCCACTGACTTTTGTAGCGAGCGTCATTATAAATAAGAACCAAATGATTATAAAAATGAGTATTTAATGTGGCTAAAACTTGTATTTGAAACTCTTCTATGTATTAAAAGTGTTTTTTGTACAATGTTTTTCTGATAGTAGACATGCATTTAAAATCTGAAATACGTTTTTTAACATTATTAATACCTCAACAAAGTTATAAGTAAAATCAGTTTATTTTACCTACAATTCGGAAAAAATTTTTAACATCTGGGATCAGAATCATCAAGCTTATCAGTATTAACATTCTAAAAAACAAAAACTGGAAGAAATGTTTTAAAAGTGCATAATCTGAGCCAAGAAAATCTAGAGTTAATCACTATTGAATATTAATAAATTAATGGAATAAGTTAACAGAGCTTATTACTAGAACATTTAAAATCTACTAAAGTTATCAAAGTTATTAAAAGTTATCAAAACAAAAACACTTTTAAACCCTTGGATCACGAGGGGCATTCTTAAATCCTCAAAAAAAAAAAAAAAACGTTTATATAACAAGTTTCTTAAAAAAAAAACTTTTAAAAATGAAACTAATTGCAAAACCTATAAACGGCTATATGAATCAGTTTTAAAACGCTCAAAGAAACGTTACTATTCGGAACAATTATTTAAACACAAAAATGATTCGGAAAAAACATGGCAAATTATAAAGGAGGTAATTGGTAAAAAACGTTTATACGGTAATTTACTTCCAAAAAATCTTAAAGTTAATAACAGTTGTTTTGTAAATAAATCCTTAGTGGCCGAAACACTTAATCAGTTTTTTGTAAATATAGGTTTTATTTTATCATCAAATATAGCAACTTCTCAAATACACTTTAAGTCTTACGTAACCTCAAACAACATTAGTGTTATGTCTAATCCTAAACTTACGGAAAATGAATTATTAGACGCAGTCTCTTTGTTAAAGCCCAAAAAAAGTGTAGGTTTCAATTCTATAAGTAGTAATGTCGTTATTAAATCGATAAAATACATCACAATTCCATTATTACATATTTTTAATTTATCTTTAAAACATGGTGTTTTTCCAGAAAACCTAAAAATTGCAAAAATCATTCCAATTTTAAAATCAGGCGATCCTTCTGAAGTTGCAAATTATCGTCCAATCTCAATTCTTAATTGTTTTTCTAAAATATTAAAGCGAGTTATGTATAATAGGCTTTATTCTTTTTTAAATGTAAAAAATACTCTTTACCATAAACAATTTGGATTCAAATCTGGCCATTCCACCGATCATGCAATCATTCACCTTGTTCAGGACATATTTAAATCGTTTGATGAAGGCAAGTATACCCTAGGTCTTTTTATCGATTTTAGTAAAGCTTCGATACAGTCAATCATCAAATCCTTCTATCGAAACTCAAAAGTTATGGTATAAAAAATACTAACTTGTCCTGGTTCGAGAGTTATTTGACCAATAGGAAGCAGTATATAGTTTATGATGAAGGAAAAACTAATTATGAGACAATTAAATGTGGTGTTCCTCAAGGATCAATTTTAGGGCCACTTCTATTTCTTGTTTATATAAACGATTTAAAAAAAATTTTCTAACATTTTAAATACAATTTTATTTGCAGATGATACCAGCTTGCTTTTATTCCAATAAAGATATCAATATATTATTCTAAACATTAAACAAAGAGCTAGACAAACTAACCCAATGGTTTAAAACAAACAAGTTATCTTTAAATATTACTAAAAAAAAATACACTTTATTCCATCGCCTACATAAAAAATCAGATATTCCCTTAGAACTCCCAGACCTTTTTATTGACGATCAATTAATAAAGAGAGAGCAATCAATAAAGTTTTTAGGCGTGTTTCTAGACGAAAATGTAACCTGGAGGGAACACATAGGTGTAGTTGAAGATAAAATATAAAAAAATTTAGGTATAATGTACAAAGCAAAGCAGTTATTACATCGATCTGGTTTAAAAAACATTTACTTTTCTTTTATTCATTGCTACTTAAGTTATGCGAACATTGCTTGGTGTAGCACTAACGCGACGAAATTAAAAAAATTGCTTAGCAAACAAAAACAGGCTATAAGGATAATTTCAAACGTAGATCGTTTTTCACACACACAAACACTTTTTAATGAACTCAATATCCTAAATGTATATAAACTAAACCTCTATCAAGTTCTTATTTTCATGTTCAAACTTGATAAAAATATATTACCAATCTTATATTATTCAATTTTTGAAAAAATAAATCACATATACCCTACAAGATTTTCAAAATACAACTACATTCAATCCAAAACTTATTATTCCGCTACTAAATTCTCTATTGTAAACCGAGGACCAAAGTTGTGGAACATAATATTAAATAATGAAATGAAAACTAATTATTCTCTAAACCAATTCAAAACAAAACTTAAGCAATTACTTTTGTTAACTGAAAATGAATTAAATTTTTTCTAATAAAACTTCTTTATATAAGAAATCAATAATTAATAGTTAATTAATTAATTACTTTAGATTATTAATACATAACTAATCAACAATTGTACATATATTTTTATCATTTTAAATAATAATCTTCTTTTTGAGAAATTTATTTTTTATTTTTGCGTTATTTATTAATCTTTTACTTTTATTTCATACTGTTTATTTGCTTTTACATAATTGGCAATGAAAAGTATTATAAATATAATTAAATAAGTTAAACTATAAAATGCTCTACCAATAAAATGTTTTTATATAAAATCATATCTTCTTATTTTTCAAACCAAGTCTTAAATGTTATTTTTGTCATTTTAACATTTTATTAAATTTTGTTTCTTTTAATTTACAAAACAATTGTTAAATCTTATTCTTTGAAAACTATAAATTTTAAACGATATGCGATATATTTAAATTTTCTTTTATAATATAAATCAGAGATATACACATTGAAACTATATTTTATTGTTAAACTATATTTTGTCTAGTAATAACGCATTTTTTGGGGCTTAATGATAAGACTAAAATTGTCTTCTTCTAGCCCCGGTCAAGTAATTAATTTTTTTATAAGTTACGACTGTAAATTTTTTTTTATCGGCAAAAATGTAAATAAATAAAAAAAACAAAAAAACATGTATAAAATTAGAGTAATCAATTAAACTAATTAATTTAATATTTTACATAAATATATAAGTTTTCTTCAACATATTACTGAAACAAATTACTGCTAAATACTTCATTGAAGTTTGTCATATATATATGTATATATATATATATATATATATATATATATATATATATATATATATATATATATATATATATATATATATATATAAATTATATAATAGTGCGCTAAAATAATTACTATATTGTTGTACCTGCTACTTACAATGTGTGATTATTATAAATATCCATTATTTAACATTTAAAAAATATTTTTAATAACATTAACTGCTGTGAAAATTCCTAAATAAATGATTTTCGATTGTCCCCTATTTTTTGATTCGTGGTTGCTCAAGTCTCCGTTGAAACATTGATTCTAAAATCAAAAAAATTATAATATATAACATAATATATATATATATATATATATATATATATATATATATATATATATATATATATATATATATATATATATATATATATATATATATATATATATATATTTATATATATATATATATATATATATATATATATATATATATATATATATATATATATATATATATATATATATATATATATATATATATATATATATATATATATATATATATATATATATATATATATATATATATATATATATGTATATATATATATATATATATATATATATATATATATATATATATATATATATATATATATATATATATATATATGTAAATAAAGGGGAAAAGAGGGCAATTGACCCGGACACCAAGCTTGTAGGGGCGCTGGACGATCCTTTTTTTTTAACAATAAATAGAAAACATTTTAATGACTGACAATGTGAAATCTGCTCAGCTTTTGTATATTATATTGAAACTTTAGTATTCGAAATAATCATTCACATGAAAAAAATAATTTGAACTTTAAATTCTATTATTATAATATATTCTGGATATATTCTGTAAGCCTATAAACAGTTAGCCGTGCTAGCTTGTGCTCAATACGGAAGATGATGTGCTGCGACACACTGATAGCACTGACAACTTCTTTAGATAGTGCGTTCCATGGGCGAACAACGCGGTTGTTAAAGAAGATAAAGCAAACTAGACATTTGTTATCAATTTCACGATAAAACCACTACCCTTGCAAGTAATTTTTGACTGTTGAAGCAAAAGTGTGAATCATTATGTCGCATTTTTTAGACAAATAAGCCGCCTTGCCTTTACCAGCACCTGGCCAGTTATCAAGTATTTGAGTCTTTGTATATTTGCTGCACCTAATATGTGTAATTTACACACACAATTCAAAGTGACTCATCGGAATAAGAAGGAGGAAATTTATCTTACAAAGGGAAATACAATGATCAACCTAACTTGGTAATCAATGATAACCTCTCTTTGCGGTCAGTTGTTTTGAGTCAAAAGATCGAGCTGTAACTATTTTAAAGAGACCTTTAACACGATAGCAGTATTTAAAAGCGGGTCATTGTCCTTCTTTGTTGGAACAGAGGAGCTAGAAATCAATGGAGGAAACTCATAGATTGTGCAAAACAGCATCAATTACACCAAAAGTTCTAAATGGATTTAAAAAAAGGCATACATTTGTCTTACCAGCTCCACTGGAACATATTCAGAGCTCCAGTTTATAATTTAGTTTATAATCAGAGCTCCAAGTTAAAAAATTCTGAGACAGCGGAATAGATGTGACTTTTTTTATGCCTTCTAGGAGTTTAGTTTTTCTAGGTAACTCATTATAAAGTTCTCTAAGAACCAATTTTAATTATTTATATAATTAAAAATATTTGTATACCTACATATTTACATAATTATTGTAATAATTTAATTATAATTACTATATACAACTATGTTTGCAAGTAAAACAACACACGTGAATGAGAAACAAAATGGAAACGTCCCCTTGTATTGAGTTTATTAGTCGCCATCAACAAGAGGGCTCCAGAATGAGAGCCTTTACTTCTCTTCATCGTCTCAAAATGAGTTCATCAGAAAATATGGTGGTGTCATCCAAATTGCAGCAATCAAAGAAATCCTGGATAGCATCTACTTCACAATTATAGTCGATAGTACCTCCAATATATCTCACACTTAGCAGATAACCTTTATAATACGTTTTTTCTTTATGAAAGATAAACTAATTGCTGGTAAATCAAAGAACGATTCTTGCGTGTTGAAGCTTTTGAGATGAAAAAAAGAAGTCTATATAGCTAAGCTTATCAATGATGTGATTTCAAGGTTAGGTATTGAATTTAAAAATTTTTGCGGTCAGGGACACGATAATGAATCCAATATGTCAGTTGCTTACAAGCTCAAACCTTAATAAGACAAAATTATTCGGAATTACAGTACGTTCCCTGTAGCAAAACATTTCCACAAAAGAATTCAAAGTAAACGTTTTTAATGTTGGTTTTGATAGACTAATGCAGCAGATTGATTTAAGATTTGAGGCAAGCAAGATAGTTGGCAATATACTTTAATTCATCTGGTTGAATAATAATAATAACCTTTCCGCTATAACTCTGAAACAGGAACCTTGACGAACAATGCCGCTGCGCAATGGTACAAGTTAAGCGCGGCACAACTAACTACGTGGTGAGGATATAAATCGGAATTTGCTTTGTGCAGGTAAACCAGTTTTTGACATGTCTTTTATTGAAAAAAATAAGTAAAGTTAGTTGAGAAAAAAGCTTCGAAATCTCTGGGGATTATGTACAAGATAATATTAACAAGATTTTAATATTAACTATTGTTTATTGGCTAGTAATCATTCATCTTTTCTAAAAAATATTTAAACTAAACAAAAGCAAACATGTCGAATAGTTTTTGGTGCAGATGGTTAAAAAAGTACCAAGTCATTACTTAAAAAAACTCTCAATGTTTACAAACGAAAAATGTACCATATTTTGTTATTTATGTTTAACCATATCTTTTTATTTATATTTAAACATAAATAACGAGTTTTGTTACACTTTTAGTTTGTAAACATTGAGAGTTCTTTGAGAAATAGTTTGGAACTTTATGTCTTGTTAAGACCAGAGATAATAATGCCGCCTCGCGGCAATGAAACTTTTTGCCGAAAGACCAACTTTTAGGAAGGCGGAAGCAGTTAGCGATGGCCTCCCATTCGATTTTTAACGGCAAAATGTTCTTTCTCCCGCCCCCAGTAGCTTCTTCTGTTGGCGGCCGCAGCCAGAAATTTTTTTTGGAGGCAAAATGTTTTGGAAGCCGATGCCATTAAAAAGGCGGAAGGCTCCAGAAAAAATTTTGAAGACAGAATCATTTGAAGGCCGCCTTCAATTGCTTCTGCCTCCCATCTAGCTACGACCGCCAAAATGGAGATGGAAATATTTGCCTCCTGCCGGCGGATGTAATGAAAAATAATGGCTTGTTAGCTTTAAAGCATTTAAATATTAGCTAGAAACAAATGTTAAATAGTTGACATCAAGTTTCATTTTCTATAATTATTTGCAAAAGTTTATTGAGTATTTAAAAAATTTCTTTTTTTTTTTAAACGTATAAATTAAGTAGAATAAATTAATAGTTTCATTATTCAAAACAAAAGTTAAAAGTTGGAAATTTTACTTCTATGCAATTGGCAAATAAACCTTTTTGACAAAAAAAAGGGATAATAAGTAATTAAATTGACTGATTTTGGTAAAAGTGTTATAGAAAAAGTCAACGTGCTAAAATTTTTATCTATTTTATCATTTTCCAAAGCGTTAAATAGAGTAAAATGGGGTAGAACTGAATACCAGAGAAAATTGAACACTTATAAAAATGTTAATAATTTTGACTAAACTTGGTTTTAAACAAAATATTTTAGTTCTATAAAATAAAGAATTTCGTGCTCTATCTAATGACATTAAAATTAAAAAAATATTAATTAATAATTTTAGTACCAAACTTCGATAGTCCTAGAAAAACAAAACATTGATGTGAAATATTTAATATTTGTTCTTAGTTAATATTTTAATTGCTCTTTAACTTAAAGACAAACGCACAATTATTTTTCATTACATCCGCATGCGTGAGGCAAGTATTTCCGCCTCCAATTTAGAGGCCGCAGTTAGCTGGGAGGCAGAAGCTATTGGAGGCGGCCTCCAAATGGTTTTGCCTCGAAAACATCTTCTGCAGGCAGCTACCATTGGCTTTATCCTTTCTATTCGCGTCGGCCACCAAAACATTTTGCTTCCAAAAAGAACGCAGACTGAGGCCGCCAATACAAAGGCGGAAGCCACTGGAAGCAGATTAAAGAACATTTTGCCGCTAAAAATTAATCGGGAGGCAGCCGCCATCTACTGCGGAAAAAAAGTAGAGGCGAGAATATGTACGCCGTTTATCAACACTGGTTAAGATACTTAATAAGTAATTACTAGATTCTACTAAAATTCATTTAAAAAATATGTCTTTTTAATTACATGTTGGCGACCACGCTCATAAAACTCCAAAACTTTTTCATAATTTTCATATTTCATAATTTAATTTAAATTTAATAACTCTTACACTCTTTCAAATATTTTATATAATAATTTTTGTTGTTTTTGTTTGCTTTTTTTAATTTTGTTTTGAATAAAAATAAATAAATTTAAATTTTCTAAACGTTTAAAACCTTAAAAAGTTCTCAATCTTTTTAAATTAATTTTTTTTTTTTTTTATTATGCATACAAATTTTAAAAAAACAAAGGTAAATAATGCTTATGATTTATTCTTGAACCAATTTTGTAAAATGTATGTTACGACATTTCCGATTAAAACAAAAGTAATAAATTCAAAATCATGTCAATCCCCATGGGTATAGGCCTACTTAAATCATCGAGAAAAAAACAAAAATTATGTGAAAAATATTTAAGACGTATGAAAAATATTAATGATACTTAAATATTAAGCATCATTAATGATGCTCCACGCTTTTCTATTTACGTTGTTTTTTTCTAGTAATTTAGCATTGTAAATTATTTTCGATCTTTTTTTTTTTTTCAATTAAATTTTGATTTAAACTATTTCGTTTTTTAAAGTTTCTTTCTTGACAATATTATCATTTCTTAGATTGCATTTAACTTAATTTTTTATTGCGATTTTTTTTCCTTGAATAATACCTTAATGCATTAAGGAATTAATCGGGGAAAAAAAAAATCGCATTAAAAATCAAGTTAAATGCGATCAAAGAAATGATAGAGTATAGTCAAGAAAGAAACGCAAAACGATGTTGTTTGTCCTCAGTACAAACTACATCTTTTTGCGTTTAAGCTTGCCAATTTTCACTTTGTTTGATATTTTTTCATTTTAATTTGGCAGTTTTCACTCAAATTTGAAATTTTTTCATTTTAATTTGAAATTTTTTCATTTTAATTTGAAATTTTTTCATTTTAATTTTTCATTTTTCATTTTAATTTGGCTTTGCGAGGTGTAAGTTTTGGGTACCAAATTAAAATGAAAATTGACAAATTAAAATGAAAATTGACAAATTAAAATGAAAATTGACAAATTAAAATGAAAATTGACAAATTAAAATGAAAATTGACAAATTAAAATGAAAATTGACAAATTAAAATGAAAATTGACAAATTACAATGAAAATTGACAAATTAAAATGAAAAGTGTGATTTTTCAATAGTAGACAACTTTTAAAAAATAATGTTTTTAGTTTTATTATAGACAACTTTAAAAAAAAAATGTTTTAGTTTTATTAGTTTTATCGGCCAAACACTAACTAATAAGTTTGTGATAAATATGGAATTATGATTACGTAAAATAAAGATAAAATAAGATAAGATAATATAAAATTGTACGTAGCCGAACTCGTCACATTTCAAAAAATATATAACTTTTTTAATCTGCTGTTTTAATACCAAGCTCTGTATAAAAGTATATTTATTAAAACAAAGGAGTATGTTATATGAAAAGTGAGGGCGGGAAGGCTGACCACAATCGTCAACTTGTAAACAAAATTGGTAGAAATTTCTAAAAAAAAAGAACCTTTAGAGAAAAAATGCGTCGTCGGCCCTGATTTTGCGCAAGTTGTGTGCTATAAAAAGTTAAAAAAAAAAAGAATAGTAAAACTGTACACCTTACCTAATACTTGGTTTGAATACCTCACACCTGATATTCGTGATCAAATAAATTAATATTACACTTTTCAGATTATTTAAATAGTAAGTAAAAAAAATTGAAACAAGTTCAACACTTTACATTTCTTGAAACAACTTTTATATTAATTGATTGAAAAGGTATCTCGAATTCAAGTTTGTTGTCTGTGCCATTGCTACATTCCTCAAAGTACCCACATCCTTTAGTAGTAAACTTAAAAGTTAAACCATTAACTATGCCGACGTTCTCAGTTATAAGACATACTTCAAAACCTTCGCAAAGTTGTTCCGTTTGAGAGTCAAGTGGTAATTTTAAGAAGCAATTTAGACTTAATGCTAGAATAACATAAAATATTATATAGTATAATATAAAACTACATAAATAGTATTATATAGAAATTAAAAATGAAAATTATATAAAAAAAAAATAAGACAAACCGCATGGCAGAAACACCCACACTACTTCATAAATTTTCATCAACATTTGATACTAAAAGATTCTTATCTTTTAGTATCAAATGTTGTTTTAAAATTGAAAGTAGCTGTTGAATGCAAATACACAAACTGCATACACGAGTTTTTGATTTTAAAATAATAGCTATTGTAAAAATTTCTCCATGTATTATTATTGAAAGGCAATAATTTTCTTGAGTAATTATTTTATTATATACTTTTTTTTTTTTTTTGTCGGAAAAATGTTTGATATGTTTTTCAGCTGCTCATTTCACGTTAAATTTAAGTGGTCTGGAAATAAGTCATTGCCATTTCTATAGAGAGTGCGAAAGTAAAATTTGATTGTAAAACTATCGTTTATTTTACATATACTAAAGAAGCCACTAAAGAAAATGATCAAACAAACGACCAAATGAAAATAATTTTTTAAGATAAGTAAAAAATAGAAAATAAAAAGAAAGTAAAAAAATAAGTAAGTAAAAATAAGTAAAAATATAAGCAAAAAATAGAAAATAAAAAGAAAGTAAAAAAGTAATTAAGTAATACTAAGTGAATAAAAATTAAAAGAAAGTAAAAAAATAAAATATAAAAATAGAATAAGTAATTTACGATTTTTTCTTTTTCGTTTAAGTTAAACTTTGAATTAAACTTCTATTATAATTACCATTTAAAATAAAAAATCAATAAATATCTTGGCTCATATCTCAGTTATCAGTTTCGATTCTCAACCTCAGTTTCGATTCTCAACCTCACTGTTCATTACTTTTCCAGTCTTCAAAAATAAATTTAAAAATTTCATTCTCTCAATTGAAAATATTTTTAAACACTTTTGATAACGTTGCTATTATGTGCGGCCTTGCCGAGTGGACAAAAAGACAACTTTTAAACGTCTAATTCACGTTTTGGACGTCTTTTGAACGTTCAAAAGACTTCATTTTTATGGTCCAGTGTCCACTGGTGGCGCTATTATGTGTGGCCGTGGCGCAGTGGTTACAGCGCTTGCTTTATAAGCAGAAAATCCAGGTTCGAAACGAGCTCTGGACATATTTTCGCGTCAAGGTAAGGAAGGAGACGTGAACTTCCTGGTTAAATGCACAACACAAAAAGTTCTAAAAATTTTTCTTAAACTTAAAATTATAAAAAGCGTAAAATTTGCGTTAGACCAAAAATAAAAAAAGTATTATTTTTAGTAACTAGCCTGAAATTAAGAAAATAAATATTAAACCAAGAATAAACCCGAAGTTAAGAAAATTTTCACTAAAATAGGTTACTAATCTTTAAATCACCAAAAAGTTTACAGCATACATACGTTTTGTTTTTTTTATAAGAATTAAAGCAAATGAGATAGTACTAGAAAGTTTCTTATTTTAGGGGGATTTTTTTCTAAATATAGTACTAAAAGTTTCTTAAAATTTTCTATTATTTCAGTTTACTAAAAGATCGATAAAGTGATTAAATTACAATTTGATAATATGTTTTTTTTTTAAATGCTTTATATTGGATAAAATTAGTTCCAGTGGCGTCGCTAGGGGGTGTGGTCCACACCGGGTGACACCATTAAGACGTGACACAGAGGGGTTACACCAAAATAAATAAAAAGCATATTTTCCAAAATTTTTTTTTAAAAGGACTTTTTTTTTTTTTTTCAGAAATTTCTAGATATAGAGACTTTTTTTAGTTTTACCAACAAGTTTCTTATAAAAAACTTAAGTATTAAAAGTTTCTTAAGTTTCTTCTAGTCCTAGTTTCTTATATTGAAAAAAAAATGTGTATTCGTATTTTCCTTCATTTTTTGATGTTAATTAATGTGAGATGAGGTTTTTAAATTTGTTTCACCGATATAACATTTTTTGCAGGTTCATTCAAGTTTGTACACACATAGGAAGAGGAGGGTTTTCTTAGGAATACGATTTTTTTTTATAAGAAACCACTTTATAAGAAACAAGTACTAAAAGCCCCAAAATCTTTAGAAACTTTTATTTCTTAATTGACTTTTCAAAAACAAACTTGTTTAAGACTTATACAGTTTAAATTAATATTTAATTTGTACGCGCAATTTAATGGAATTCCATCCCATTGCGAATGAAAACCTATATTATAAAAATCTTATAGACCCCGCTGAATAAAAAAAAGTAATCCGAGTAAGTGCTCTGCTTTTCGATAATCATAGTTTTATCTAGGAGCGGTGCCTCATTACTATTGTTTAATGTAAACGTATAAATTTCTTATGCTCTTTTTACAAGACATCATTTCGCCTTCTTTAAAGCGCGTGGTAAACCGCTTTTTTTCAAAGCATCCCTAAAAAGTATTTTTGCTGACAGCCTAGTAACTCATTTAGGAATTTATTTTCGACTGTTGCAACAGTCGAAACAACATGTTGTTGCACCTTTTATAGGGAAATGCTTTTATCATCTAACATTTAGTGCTTAAATTTATATTTTTGTTTAAATTATATTGCGGAATTTTAGTTTTATTTTGTCTGCCCTACTTTGAGGTGAAGCGGAACAGAGTAAAAGTTGCTGTCCCATTTCTTCTAAACAGTTTTGCGTTATTTTATTGTGGAAAATTCAAAATGTTTTGGGTACGATTTTCTACAGTTTTAAAATATTGATACGTTTAAGCAATTTTTAATTTTAGTTTTATTTCTAATACAGTGAATTTAAAACAAATTTGAAAAGAGAGACTTTTATTGAAAATAAATTTGATTTGATTCATCATTGTTATTTGGAGTAAATTAAGAATTCTTTTTACATCAATAATTTAAAGTCTTTTTTATTAAATAAAATCATAGTTTCATTAATAGTCTTAGTCTGATATTGTAATAAAAGTAACCTTAATACCATTTGCAAATAAATATTTTTTTATCAAATCTAATTTCTTTTAAATTTCAGGTCTTGCCTAGAGTTTACAAAAGAAAAAGTGAAACTATACATGCTTCAGAAAACATTTTGGAAAATGCTTTAGCTGAAATGAAAAATGGGATAAGTCTTAGAGAAGCAGCATACTCGGCTTGTATTTCTAAATCTGCACTTCATAGGTGTATAAAAAAAATTGTCAATACCCAGATTCTAATCTTCAACCAAATTATTAACGTTCTATGATTCTCTCTGTTGTACAAGAAAAAACACTTAGCATTTATCTAATGATCTGTTTCCATATGTTATATGGCCTTACAACATTTCAAGTAAGAGCTCTAGCTTTTGAAATAGCTCAAGCAAATAAAATAAAATGTCCCTGGCATTGGATAGAGCAAAAAAAGTCTGATCGAGATTGGTAAATAGGACTTTTAAAAAGAAACCTAGAACAATCTGTTAAAAAACAGAAGCAATTTCACTTACCAGAGCAATAAATTGCTATACTATTGATATTTTCTTTAACACCAGAGATTTTAGGAAAAAAAGAGATGAAGTATTAAACAAAACAAAAAGCTGGGACAAACTAAATTTAGTATGTAATATTTTTATGTGTTTACCAACTAGCTTCAGTTCTGATAGTGCCTATTTAAAAATATAAAAAAGCATATTAATTTATGATTAAAATTTTTTTCTCTAAGAAATTTCTTACTATTAAGTTCAATATCGCATTAATCACTCAATATCTGATAACGACGAAATCCCGCAGCTCTGTAATTTTTTGTTGGATTTCTTCGTCACAAACTTTTTAGTGTTTGATTTAACTTTAGAAACAAGATAATTTTTTACATTTTTAGATTTTTTTGTTTTGTTCTTACCAATATTATGCAAAATTGTTAGGTGTTGGTTTTAACTTTTTGCAAGTGTTGGTTTTTAGATCTGTATCTTTATTCATTTTAAAGATGTATTGGTACATTTCTTTTTTTTTAGAACTAGTTATTTTAATTCAGGGTTTGCTTTGATTCCATTTCATGTAAATTGTAAAAGATTCATCAGATGTAAGACAATTTGCCAACTTTTGCTTGATTCTTTCAAACATTCCTGTCAATGTTAACTCAAAACTGAAGTATGCGTTTAAAAAAAAAAATGCAACAAAAATTTTTTAAATGCTTAGTATTTAGAAACAACATCATATAAAAACACATGTAAAAATGATATTAAGTATGGTTTTATCTATCTTTTGGCTAGAATTTTTGGGATAATTTAGCTAAGCATTTGAAAAATTGTCATCGTAATTTTGCCTGGAGCAATAGAAATACTCTAAAAGTAGAGTTCAATATTTTTTACAGAAAAGTGAGAAAGGCGCTTGAGATACGTCATGAATGTGCTTCAGACAGCGCACAGTGGTGCAAACCCTCAAAAAATCGGCCATAATTTTTCAAAACATTATAAAATTATTTTTTATTTTTTTTAAATTATACTGTTTGTATTGTCTAAAAATATAAAAGTTTGTTATTTATGTTTATTAACAGGATTTAAAAGACGTCATTTTTGTAATAAATTTTTACAATTTAAATTTTTTTAAAAATAATTCATAAAATGAATATTTTTTTTGTCAGTATGTTTAAGATATCTTAACTTCTACGTCAAAAAAATTTAACTTACTTAAAGTGAAGAAAAACTTTCAAAATTACTATAAAAAAATGCAAAAAAAAATGCAGCTGTTTGTTTAAAAGATATCCTTCTCTAGCTAATCTAACTCAATCTTTATTAAGTTCAGGTTGTGGTAATGCCTCATTAAAAAAATTCAGCTGCATATATTTTTAGCTACTAACACGCTTTTTTTTTTTTGCTCAAATAATCTCAATGTTTTTAATTCGTATAAAATTAATGTAAATGCGAATAATTTATAAATTTTTATAAATGCCAATAATTAAGTCATGTTGCTAGGTTAAAAAGTTTACTTTTTTTGTTTTAAATGAGTTCTTATTTTATTGTGAATTTTTTAATGTATTTCTATAACAATTTTAAAGTGGAGTACTTTTGGTGCATTCGGCGATGGTTTAAAACAATACAGTGGAGAAAATAGAATAAGCCTCACCATCTACTGATCCAATATTTTGTAAATCTGTAAGCAAATTTGTGCGGTGCATCTTTTGTATCCACACACATATAATTTTTGTTACAAACAACAACTTTTTAGATTATAATATGGTATAATTAAATTACGGTGCATTTGATAAAACTATAAAATGTATAATACTTGCGGTAACAAATAGAATTAGCCTCATCAATAACTATTTTTAGGTTATTTTTATATTTTGATC